ATCACATCGACCGCGTCGCCCAAGCCGGCGGCGGCATCCCCGGTAAGTGCATCGTCGCTGCTGGTGTTTTTTTTTTTCTTCTCACATTAGCTCTGTGGTCCACAAAAATGGGGAGCCGGTGGTGTTGCCGGTTGATGATGTTATTTTGCCTCTTTGTGGTGTGGTAAATCGGGACTGCCTCCGCAAGGAAAATAATTTTGTTGCGAATGATGGCTCAGCCGATTCTATCTACGTTATCATGTGTGTTTCGCATTCGATAATCGGGACTGCCTCCGCAAGGAAAATAATATTATTGCGAATAATGACTTAGCCGATTCTATCTGCCTTATCCTGTGTGTTTCGCATTCGATACTTCCTCAACGCCAAACGTGCCAAAAAATCACGCAATATTGCTTAGATCGACACTCGCCTTCATAACTCTGGACGCATCCGTCCGATTGGAGGATCCTCTCGACCGCGGGTAGTCTATGCTGTGGTTGTATGTATGGGCATGTTGTCTACAGCAGCATTGCATTTAGTGCGATAAATACGTGAAGGCATTACGTTCTCCAGTGTTGAACGTTTGTTGCGGGCTTCACCCCCCTCTAAGCATTACCCTACCCGTGACCAATCGCTGAGGGAGGGATACTGGATAGATAGATTGGAACGGTTTTTTACGTTTTTGATGTGAAGGCATCAACAACAACTACAACTACAAATCGCTGCCGCACTCCCTCCTGTACCACGTGGGGACACACATCTTCTCCTTCGTGGGTCGTTTCTCTTGACTGTGCCGTATGCATAGATTCCAACGTGTTCTCGCGCAGTCGTGACTCCGATAAAAGAGGGTCCTATGACGCAGGCCCTCGAACCTCTTTTATCGGAGCCCCCTCTTAATTGGAATAAGAGGTTACCCAACTACACGTTATTGCGGGTCGAGTCCTTGACAACCAACGTTGAGCCTCTTACGATACATGGAAACCACGACTATACCGCAAACGTTTTCGGTCTCCGCCAGGTTGCTTCCTCCCCCGCCCCCGTGGCCGTGAAGGCCTCCAAGCCGTCCGCCCCCGCTGCCGCCCCCAAGTCCTCCGGCGGCCGGCCTGCGGTAGGAGCACGGTCAGCCAAGGCCGCCCCTAAGGCCAAGGCGGCACCGAAGGCCGCTCCCAAGAAGGTGAGAGGCCTGGGTTTTTTCTGCGATAATCATGATGGCATGCTTTGGTGCATTTTGTTTTGGTGCTAAGGGCGGTGACACGTGACCCAACGCGTGTTGATCTCGCTCCACCGCCGGTGAAATCGCTCGATCATGTCTAACCGTCGATAGAAACGTCCCCAAAACAGAAAACTATGAAATGTTCAAAGCTAAGACACAAACGCAACATACCCCACCAATATTTTCTGACTGTCACGACTTGGCTTTCCCCCATCCCCCACACTGCCGTCGCCGCCGTCGCTTGAATTTTAGGCTGCCCCCAAGCCGCGCCCCGCGGCGCCCAAGTAAGTGGGAAGTCCTTTTTCAATTCGTTTGTGTGCTATGTTGCGTATGTTGTGCTCGGTCCAAAGGCCGGACTTCCTTGTTCGCGAAACCAATGGAAGTCGGGCTTGGACTGCACTTTCCGATCGAACGGACGTCGTTGATTATGTGCAGCACGCATGTTGTTCGGAAGTTGGCGCGTTGGCGCACCGTCGATGCGCGCAGGCCTAAGACTATAGCGTAAGCACCTGATCCGTCTCCTCGCCTTGAGATATGGTTCAGCGGCTCTTTGTGTGCCGCATCGTCTTTCGGCGCAGATTTTGACCACCGCTTCCTCGAGGATGTGGGATACCTAGGTAGTTGGCGGAGGAATCTTGTTGGACGCCAGCACGTTCACGACACATTTCATTTTGGTGGCCGGGACTTTGCCGTTGTGTGTTTGCCGGCATCCTGTGTTAATGTGTGGGAGAAATGAGTGGACATCCCTTTGGCCTTCTTGCCCCTGGTAACCATGTGCGGGGAGCCTAGCGCGTGCGCCTGATGGCCCGACATGTTGTCCGATTGTTGGCAGTATCCGCCCCCGCCGGTACGTGTATAGCTGCGCCCTCGCGTGTGTAGCGTATGCTCGTGGTGGCTGCGTCTTGGAGGACCAAAGGATCGTGTTTCGCCTGCTGGGAGAGGTCCCCAGGAGGCGAAGCTGATACTTTGGTCTTCGCAACACACATCGACACGAGCACACGCTATACACGCGAGGCGCAGCGAGTGCTCGTAGCGGGATGGATGCCGCCAGCGATTAGTTCACATGCCGGGTCGTTAGGCATGAGCTAGACTCCCGGTACTTGGTGAACAGGGGTGAAAAGGGATATTCACCCGTTTCTCCCACACGCTGTCTGTCGCAGGATACCGGCATATACAACCGGCAAAATCCTGGCCGCCTGCTGAGAGGAATGCAACAGGATTCCTCTGAAACTATGCAGGCATCTGTCATCCTCGGAAGCGGTGTAGTCATGCCAGCGGTTTATCTGTCGCGGTAGCAGTAGTCTACGCAGCAACAAAATTGATTGAGCAACATATATGGGATATAAAGTATTCAATCCGTGCTTTAGGGATAGGAATAGGGTCTGCGTGCCCCCTCCCAATTATGTTTCTAGATACTCTTGAAATCCTGCGTAGGCGGTCCCGCGGAAGCTATGTGACTAATTTCGTCTTGCCTGTCTGTCCCGACTGCCTTTCCCCCCCTCCCCCGCCAATAAAAAAAAAAACAGGCCGGCGGGGAACATCGCCAACCTGCCCAAGGCCCTCTAAGATTTGAAAGATTCCGGTGGTGGAGGTCGGCATCCCCATCGCCTTGCCGCTCCTATCAAGTCTACCACTTATTTGTAGGGCGAGATCCACCGTTTTTACGGGGTGGCCCTTTTGGCGGTTAACTGTGAGGAGCGCGACGGATTTTTTTTGGAAGAAGGCAGTGGGGGGGGGGGAAGAGGGTGCACCTGAACGGTGAATGGCGTTCGCTGACGGCAGACCGGTGTTTTTGTCCGGCTGCGCCCATCGTTCGGAATTGCACATTTTGAGAGCAGGGTTGGGGCGCGTGAGCACGCAGTATGTCCACATCACTGCTACATAAAGGAGACAACATAACCAAAACTTGACGTTTTAGATCATCACAGCAACTAATTTTTTGCGACGGAGGTGTTAGCATACGGGGGGTTGGGGGGTGGAGTTTGTTCGATGGATAGACGTTTGATCCCGGTAGCGGTCGCAGCTGCTGACACGCTAGGGGCTCGACATCCTGCCCGAGATACTTCGAAAATCGCCTCTCCTCTGTCCTAGTCTGTGCTGTCGGGTGCCCGTGTGTGTAGGCGGTGTTGTGCCCCGGGAGGAGTAAACAGCACAGTTTGGATTGAGGTACACCCAGTAGTGATGTCTCCTTTTTGGGGACACCGCTGATTGATGTCTTCCAGCGGCTACTTTAGGCAACGCATTTGGGCGATCTTGCAAGGAACGCCCGCGTTGTCATAGAACGTTTTTCAACGGCTAGACTTGTTTCGGGTTCGATGTCGGTTTCGGTTGGTTCTTCGTTGCCGTTACATAAAGCGGCCGTTGTAGTCCGGTGCAGTGAGCATCACAAGCATTGGAAGGCGACTTGAGGATCACAAAAGGAAGTGGACCGATATGGCTCGGTCGTCCCCACGACGACGCCTGCGCTAAGAAGGCGATGGCGCGTGCACTGTGTAGTGACTGGAAGCGAGAGGCCTGTTATTCGTTGAGGAGAGAAAAGAAGACTTGGAGAATGTATCCAATGAAAAGTTTCTTGCTTTTTACGTGGAACTCTGCACACGCACTCCTGATAAAACTAACAAACACTTCTTCAAGTCGCGGGTGTAAAAGAAAATCGGGTGCTGTTGCCCTCTCCCATGGCGGCTGGAGAGCGAAATATCGCTGGTTCCCTACGTGCAAATTGGGATTTCTGACGCGACACACAAAAGTCACTACAATGTACTGTGACAGAAACTGAGAGATTTTCTCAAGGTGCATACGCCCAAGAAACCCCAGGTCTGCTTTCCTTCGGTCTTGGGCACTTGATTATGATTCGCCTCGGTGGCATAGCCGGGGTGAGGAAAGTCCAAAGGCTGTCTTCACCGTGTAGTTAGAACACTCATAATTTTGCTCCACAAAAGAAAAAGTGGCCTTACACGCCGCTATGGTTGTACATTCTACTGGGCACGATGTTTCGGACGAACCATGTGTCCGGATAGCGAGGAGAGCCCTAAAAAATGTGGTGTCCTTGAAGCGTGGACGATTGTATTGTAAAGTTCGCCGTCCAGCTCTCAAACCGTTGCTTTTATCAAAACTCTGAACTGTATTGATTGTGTTTTCCCTCCTGATCGGGCATCAGGCAAGTAGTATGTTACACCTTTTCGCCCAATACAACGCAGGGTGGGCCGTGGGGGCAGTACCACACGACCCCAGATGCACGCACCGGTGCGAGTGACCAAGAGACTCTGATCAACTTCTCGCGGACATGCGGTGATGTGAAGGACGAAGGAAAACAAAGTCTGAAGAAAAGCGCGCTCCGAGTGTTAGTCCCATGATACATGCAGTCAGGTCCGCTGCCGGCATGCCTCTTTTTTCCCGCCAGTCAGTGTGCCGCTCTCATGACCCGAACGCTGTGGGCCCATGCAGGTCTGTTTCTTTCCGTCGTCCTGATCAAAATAGGCGTCTTCCTTTTCGGAAAATCTACACGGAGGGGTGGGGAGACAACTGGTGCCTTGCTCCCCCGCCGGCAGCTTCCTTCCAGCGCTATCAACTTCCCTGTCCTCTTCTCTATATGAGGACATAAAAAAAAAAATCGAGTCTGACTGACCTGACAAGTCTATCTACAACGCGCACGTCGGACGACAAAATTCGAAACAAAGAAGAAGGGCTCGCCTTACAACATACTAGGGCGGTCGACTACAAAGCGAAAGAGACGGCCACCATCCCAACTACAACCATAACAGCCATCCCAACTACAACCATAACAGCCCAACAAAAACTCTATTATTTACTAGTGCTCTTCCTCCTCTTCCCTTGGCCTCTTCACCGGCCCCGTCTGCGGGGCCCCCGCTGACGAAGGACCCCCCTCGTCTGCCGCCGCGGAAACGGTCGTCAGTTTTCTGTCGCTGGCTGCGGGAGTCGAGTTGTGACGCTCGCCGCTGCTTCGGCTGCCGTCCTCCTCCACCCCGGCCCTACCGCTTCCGCCCGCGCTACGCCCGGGCGGAACCGGACCTCTGGCGCTGCCGTTGGCGTCCGCATTGGCGGTTCCTCCGCCGTCGAGCCGTTTTGCCGGAGAAGTTGGTGCGGTAGCGGATGGTGGTGGTGGTGTCGCGGTCCTCCCTCTCTCTTGGGCGTTGTCACCGCCGCTGCCGCCGCCGCCGCCGCCGCCCTTGCCGTTGGCGTGGCTCCCGCTGCCGGTTTCCCGGGCAGCCGATGCCACTCCCGTGGCTGCTGCTGCTGCTGCTGCTGCTGCTGCTGCACCACCGCCGGCACTACTACCGCCGCCGTCGCCGCGCCCTGATCCTGATGACGCTGCACCACCGCCAACACTACCACCGCCGCCGCCGCGCCCTGATCCTGATGGTGCGTCGGTCGCCGCCCTAGCCTTTGAGGAGGGGGCTTGGTTGTTGTTCTTGCCGGCATGGCTCTTGCCCCTCTTGCCGAACTCCCGGTTCGACGGCTTCTTTTTCTTCGCGCCGCCGCCCCCTTTCTTCACGCCTCCGCCGTCCCCCGTCCGCACGCTCGTCCATTCCTCCTTATCTTCCCAGCGCCCTCCCCCCGGCTTGGAAGAGATCCCCCTCTTGGAGGTCTGCACGTCTAGGTCGTACCAACCCTCCCTGGCGGCCGCGCCAGGCTCGGTGGAGAGGTAGAAGGGCTGCAGGCGGTCCTCCCCCTCCGAGTCCGTGCTCCAGGCGTCCACCTGTTGAGAAGGAGCAGCGACATGGACAGCGGGAGAGGTAACCATTTGGGGGTTGCTGATGTCGTTGGGGTGATGGTGGTGGTAGTCAAGGTGATACTCGAAAGAGGGTCGGTATGGGGGAAACTTAAATACCATGTTTTCGCGATCACCGCAGTTCTGTCTTTTTATTCACTTCGGGAGGTCAGCCTAAAAAGCCAGGTGTCGCCACAACACGTTTTTTTTTATATTTTTGCATCGCATTACGTCAGCGCTAACAGCATTTCTGCCTGGTAAAAGCCATGAGAAAAAAAAACAACGTGAATCAACAGGACGCCGGCGGTGGAGAGGAGAAAGGCGTTATCAACGCCCAACCCTGTCGAAACCCATGATCAGAGAGCCCGCCTAATATGTGCTATGGAAATGTCCACAAAGCTCCGCCAACCACTGCCACAAAATACGGCTAAGCTTGCCTGTAATATATGTGGCCAGAGCTTGTTTGGTAGCGCTCGCAAGGACACTGCAACGCCGTAAAATGAACCCATGCGTCACTATGGATTCACTGCTAGCCTATCCTGTGGATAAGAGATTAATCCGGTGTGGCACAAAAAAAAATTGACTTGTGCGTATGTCACGTAGCTCGTACCGTATCGATCGCATCGATGGACACGACAGCCTCCTCCTCCTGCTGCTTCTCCTTCTCCGCCTTGCGCTTGGTGCCCTCTGGGTCACCCTCCTCCACGACCACGTCAAACTCGTCCTCCTTCTCCACGTACTCCACGTTCTCTTCCAGCTCCTGTCGGGGTGGGGTAG